GGTATTTACGAGACCTACAAAATGACAGCACATATAAAAAGATCCGGCCAATAAACCAATAAAAGTTATGACCGAAAACATAGACAAAATGCAGGCTTTGGCTCTTGTTGGTAATGCGACAATTGTGTTAAGCAAATACTTTTCTCACATCGGTAGGCTTTATATTTTTGAATAACTACAACAAAATTGGAGTCGATTAGTCAAGTAGTTTTTGAGAATTTCTAATTGTTTATCCCAAAACACCTGCTTTCCGGCCATTACTACTAGTTTATTGAGCAATATACAGAGTTACTTTAAAGGGCATTTTAAAGCAAAATACACTAGTTTATTTTGCCGATATGAACCGCAAACGATTTTTATGCAAAAAAGGATTGGTTACATTTTTCTCTTCTAAACAAACTCAAACATTTCGTATATGTGAGTAACTGAACAGATGCGCTACGATATTCGAAAAACACACGCTATTATACTCATTTTTAAACAAAGCGGATGCCTCAATCACCTTTTACTGCGAAGAAAAACATTTTTTTTTCAAGATTTCTTCATACCCTTGTGTATTATGCACATTGAGAGCTGAAATTTTCACACGGTCACAGGTGAGCCTTTCTAAAAGTATTAATATAGTATACGCCTGTTTTCGAAATCTCGTACGATTAAAACGGCTGCGAGTTCAAAATGTTGGAAAATAAACTCGAAAAATACCACCTTGAACAACTTGCATTAATAAAACCAAACTTTACAAATATTTCGCAAATCAGGGTTATTTTTGTCTAATATGATTAGACTATGTCTGACTTCCATTACGGCGGAACGCAGTGTAAATAAAGATGGAGTTTGTTATTTTTGGCTCTTAGGTATTATTTCATTATTTGATAATGTACTCGTAAAATGCAAACAATTAAAAAAAACTGACTTACCACTAACTGTCTCAGCGCTTCACCTGGTGTGCGAAAGTTTATTGAACGTATTAAAAAAATCCACTTATAAATAGGGAACACACTTTTGATACATACATTGTTTTTCTTTTTAAAACCCACACTGCGCTTTTTTGTATTTAAAGGTGTTCAAAATGTCGTCCTCCACTTTCCACACAAACTTCATTACAACGAACTCAGTTTCTTCTTACTCTAGGTCCTCGAAGTTGTCCATTTATTATCTCAGCCGCATTAATTTTTTTTTTCGTGAAGTTGTGCTTTAGTTGTTATTGGACCAGCCCCCATAAACCCTTTAAGTTCTCCCCAATACCAGAAATCCATCGGATTGAGGTAAGGAGATCTTGCTGGCCATTTTCAAGGATCATGAGCATTTCGACCGATCCAGCGATTTGGATAATGTTCATTCAAATACTGAATGACGCCTCTAAAAATGTGTGGTGGCGCCCCGTCATGAAGAAACCACAAATTCTGTCTCCGTTGTAATGGCATGTTGTCTAAGGTCTGTTCCAACAGTTCTGGTATGTTATTGGCCGGAAAGCTAAGGCATCCTTCTCCTGACCACATTGGGGGTAACTCGAAATTGCCAATTACCTGATCGTCAAGAATACCCGCCCAAATATTTATTTTAAAACGTTGTTGGAAATGACCTTCACGAATGGTGGTATTATGGAAATTTAATATCCCCTCTTGCGTAAAAGTACATTCGTCCGTCGCTAGAATGTTTTTTAAAAAATCCGGATTTTCAATGTTTTTGTGCAAAAACCTCGGACAGAATGTTAGTCTGCAAGGATAGTCTTCTGGCAACAAGGCCTACACTCGTTGTACATGGTAGGGATAAAGCAAATTTTCCCGTAGGATTCTATGGACTATGGTATGCGATAGTCCTACGCGGCGGTCTAATTCCCGAGTGCTGATATCTGCATTGATTTCCACGATATTTAAAATTTGTTCCTCCTGCTCTACAGTAACCTGTCTTTCACGAGTGCGAATATTAGTGGGCTGAACACTTCCTGTATCTCGAAGTCTTTGGTACACTTGCACAAATGTCCTACTGTCTGGGTGTACCCGTTGGCGAAATCTGTCGCGATAAATTTGAACTGCAAGATTTCAATTCTGACGAGCTTCACCGTAAACTAACAACATGTCGGCGAACTCTTGCTTCGAGAACATTAACTAACCACTGTTACCGTTTGCGATCGATTGCCGGTTCGATAAGAGTGATGAATGACCGACGCGCTGTGGTCATGTGTGTTTTAAATATTAATTTTTCAATTCCTGCACTAGTTGAAGTTTATATGGGTGCAATTTAAGGACCCTTACCAAAATATGCCTTACAGATGTTCTTATTATAACGAGCTCAGCTGATCTCTTTCGGGATGATAACGGTGGATCGCACCGTACGGACGTCGCAACTTTGCTTACAGTTTCCTCTGTTCGTATTGACTTTGGACGCCCCGCAGGTTTGTGATTCATGCAAACCAAACTCAGAGTGAAACATACGGCGCGCAATAGTGCACGAATCTCCATTTTTGTAATAAGCCTTAACGCAGAATGCACGCTGCTCACCGGGGAAACGCTCCATGGCAACTAAATTTCCGAGCCCCAAACTACTTATTCCCACTACCCGTGTCCCGCTCCCGCGTGCCTGTTTTGCTTTATTTATAAACTAGAAAAAACATTGCCTTGTGTATAGTTGTAGTGACCATTCTTGGCGGTTACGTCATCAACGCCATATGAAATAAGTAAACAGATCGAGTCTCCGTACCATGGGCGCAGACTAATCTTCAGCGCATCTGCTACTCTCTCCGGTACGCATGAAGTGGATAACAGAGGACCGCTGTTTTCATTCTCTTCTTGCAAAAACTCCTAATTCCTCGGCCTTCTCCATTGATCGTATTTCCGAGCATTGTACAATTTTATATTGAAGATTAATAACAGAATGAGGCAAGTAAGTTGTCACTCTGACAAATATGATTAAAGGGCACTCGTACGTAACGACAAAGTTTTCGAGACGGAGACACACAACTAAAAAACGTATGTCTTTGAGCTTACCGAACAAACGTTCACACACAGGGGTAGGTTGCATGTGTATGTATGAGGGAGATGGAGATACAGTAATGGACAAAAGTATATAGACATTAATATTGTGCTGTATTTCTTTTTTAACTTGTTTGATAATACACCAACCTGTATACATAATTCGTTATAGCATAATACTCACTTATACATAAATAAATTCATTAGACTCCATTCAATGAAAAATTAATTGAAAAAAACTGAAACTATGAAGTACAAAAATATATAGACAAAGCAAAACAGTTATATAAAAAAGAAGCAAAGTTCATTGAATTATAGAAAACCAACCATATTAATACTAATATTTTGTAGCATAACCATTATTATCAATCACCGCCTGGCATTGTCTCGGCATAGATTGTAGAAGTTTCTTGATATAAGATTCATCAATATGTCTCCACTGTTGCTCTAAAGCGGCAAAAAGTTCATCCTTGTTTGAATAATCTTTATCTCGTATTTGCTTATCTAAGTATATCCATAGATTTTCAATGGGGTTTATATCGGGAGACTGTGAAGGCCATTTGAGAACTGGTATTTTTTTCACCCAGAAAGAATTTCTTTGCGAGATTTGAAGTGTGCTTCCGGTCATTGGAGTATGAATTCGTTTTCTAAAGGTATTTAGGTAAATATTCATATTTGTCTATATACTTTTGTCCATTACTGTATATAAACTGATACTAGTAGTATTACTTTGACCCGCCAAGAACGGTGACTACACTACTGTAGTAATTTTAGGCATATTAAATATGACCCTTCTTAACAGAAAACTGGCGGAGACCAACAGCAGCAGCCCCAACAGGAACAGAACGGACAACCTCAACAGAACAGTGATAAGCAGCAGGAGAACATGGAGTGGTCCACTACAAATTAGAAAGACAGCGTCTAGGTGTTATTTTTTAATTTTCCATTTTTTAAATTAATCCTTGTGTATTTCCGATTCGGGAGGATGGTGCAACCATTCCTCTCGATCTGCGTGAGTGGTTGCAAAATTTGATTAGGATTTAGATCAAAAATACCGTTTTAAAGCATTTGATGCTATTATTTGTTTGCCAGAGCATGAGTCTGGTTTACTTAAAGCCATCAAAACAGCGCCAATTTATTTAAAATATAACTATTTCAATTCAACTAATATTCTTGTCATAGTGTCAGTTTGTATGTGTCTGTTAACTCAGAAACCTGACATCGTTAAGGAAAAGGGAAGAAAAAGAGAGAAGGAAGGAGAGGGTAAAGAGGAAGAAGATACTCTTTTAGGACAGAGAGGGCTTAGGCATTGTTAAAATCACTTGACAAATTTTGATGTGGTCCAAAAATTGTTTTTTTTTTGTAAGGGTTTTATCAAAATACTCTAATTTTGTTTGTAAGAACACTTATTAATTTTTAATTTGGTGTATACAGGGTACGTTAGAATGTTTGGGACATTTCAAAAAAGAATTGGTATGAACACAGGTCCGCAATAGAGCAGATTTCAAGCAGCGTTTTTAATATGATAAATAGATTCAATTTCTTTTTGCTGTGTGCGCACTGAAAATATTTTGTAAATTGTTGAATCGTCTATCTTACAAAACAAGTATGTTAGATTTGTGTTCACGAAAACTCTCTGGAACGACTCAAATAAATTCAAAATGCTTACGGATCAAAACGCGATCAACTTTTACAACCGCTCACTATAACTATGAAATATAAAAGCACTTGTTGTAAATGTTAATTTAATAAGATGATAGTATTTGCAATTAAAAATGTGCAAGTAAGTTTTTAATCGTAGGCTATTTTTTAGCTTCTCTAAAAAAATAATTTCCTCTTTTAATTTATTATCCTCGCAAAGTCGTGTAGCAATGGTTTCACTTGTCAGCGACATTTCACACAACACAAGAAGCATACTAATTTGGATGCATTTTTGCATCAAGCATTTATTTGTAAACAACCGTTAGTTTCAATTTCTGGGAAGGTGTGGTTCAAAATAAAAGAACCATTGCTTTGTCAAATTTGTGTATTTTTATTTATTCCTACATCCCTACTTTCAGAGATGCAAAGTGCAACTTCAAGATACAGATATGCAATGCAAATGCATTTTTGCACAAGAGTAAAGCTTTGCCTCCGTCAGATAAAAAAGCTTCCTGGCATGCCCACAACAGCCTCAATTGGCATGCTTGGTTAAAGTTCTTGGTTGTCCGCTATGTGCCCCTTCACTATAAATTAGCTGTTTTTCACACCGCAGTAGCCGCGCAGGTAGAAGGCTAAATGCCAGGACACCGCGACTGCTTCGAGGATCCCAAAGAATTTTTGTTAATCCGATTTTTGAACTGCCTAAGGTCAGTAGTTCTTGGAAAAGCCTCTTGTAGATTGTTCTACAATCTCGACACTATCCTCCAGTTCTGGATGTACATGTTTAGGATGAAGCACTTGGACTCTTTTTGTTGACCAAGGTGCAGTGCTGTGTTTTGGAAGCATTAAACTGCACAAGATTGTTTCGTCCCGAAGCAGCGATAACCTCCAGGTCTCTCATCAGAGAGGAAGTGGCTGCTAGTCTTCGTTTCTCCAGCTCACTGGCAGCGATCAGCTTGTGACTCTGAATTCCTGCATGTAGAGTGCTGTCACCAGCAGAACTGGATTGGGTTGATCGTATAGGAAAGAAGGTCGTTGATACGTAAGAGGAAAAAGGTGTATCTGCTAATATCTGCTAAACATGCCATGATATTATTAGTAGACGACTTGACTAAAAAATATTGATATCAACAATCCAACAATGGCTAGAATACACAAGATCAAGAAACCAATCTGTAGCAGTTCTATGAGATGAAAAGAAAAAATATTACAATGCCAAAATTGATCAGAGTAAAAATAATAGCAAACATATCACTGGACAACAAATTTTAGTTTTTTAATTGTATCTTGTGGGTAACGTGCACTTCTTTGTTAACTTTGGGGCGCTGAATCCAAAAATGACAATGAAATAAAAAAATTAGTTGCGGTTTAGAAAAAAAACTTTTTATTTTTAAGGATATATTAAAAAAGTAACAAGATTCATATACTTATAAGAATCACTATATGCGCTGTATTTTTGCTGTTCTTTTATGGATCGTTTCTGGAGCATCTCTACCAAGAGTCCAACAGTAGTCTACAAGCATGGAAGGATTCCACTTTCCCTGGTACCTTTTTCCATTGTTGAAATATCCTGATGAAAACGTTCGCCGTGCTCATCACTTACGGCTCCGCAATTGTCAGGAAAAAAGTCCAGGTGTGAGTGTAGGAAATGTATCTTAAGAGACATATTACAGCCCATCTTTTGATACGATGACAGCATATTTTTGACAAGGGTTTTATAGTTGTCAGGTTTTCTATTTCCCAAGAAATTAGTGACCACCAGACGGAAATCATTCCAAGCAGTTTTTTCAATACCTGTTAAAAGTGTTTTCAAACTGTGTATCTTTCAAAATATTTCGAATCTGTGGCCCAACAAAAATACCTTCTTTAACCTTTGCCTCACTTAGTCTTGGAAATTTCTGATGCAGGTATTGAAAAGCTGACCCATCTCTATCTAATGCCTTGACAAAGTTGTTCATTAGGCCCAACTTGATGTGCAGTGGTGGTAATAAAATTTTTTTCGAATCTACTAATGGCATATGCTGTACATTTTTTTGACCTGGCTCTAGGAATTGACGAACAGGCCAGTTTTGTCTGGTGTAATGAAGTGCCTTTGCCCGACTGTCCCATTCACACAAAAAACAGCAAAACTTTGTGTAGCCTAGCTGCAGCCCAAGTAAAAGTGCAACAACTTTCAAATCGCCACAAATATGCCATTGGTGCTCATCGTATTTTATGCATGTCAATAGGTACTTCATATTGTCATATGATTCTTTCATGTGAACTGCATACCCTACAGGAAGAGATGGTAAAATATTTCCAATATGCAATAACACTGCCTTTAAACTCAATGTTGAACTGTCTATAAACAATCTCCATTCTTCTGGGTTATAGTTTATATTTAAAGCCGCCAGTAAGCCGTTAATGTTACTGCAGAAAACCAAGTTATTCTCCATATTGAAAAATGGTTCTAAGTCTTTGTAGCGTTTACGAAAAACACATACCGAAACATCGTCTTCTAACAAGTTCCACTGCTGCAGTCTTGATCCAAGTAACTCTGCCTTACATTTTGGAAGTTCTAAATCTCTTACAAGATCATTTAATTCTGACTGTGTTATTTTGTGCGGTTGGTGGCATGACGTGCTCGGTATAAAATCAGGATCTCTTGACGTTGATGGCATATCTTCTTCTTGACGAATCACTCGATCGCCATGATCTGATTCGTTTTCTGATTCGCAAGTGTAGGATTCTGGGGGTTTTGGAATAGGATTTTCGTCACTGTGAGGCACAGGTCTCATCGCAGATGGTATGTTTGGGTAGTTAATAACCGATTTTTTTTTCTTGGACATACCTGTGGCTTGTCCAACACAAGGTACCATGCAAAAGTAAGAATCATTTATATGATTTGTAGGCTCTCTCCAAACCATTGGGACAGCAAAACGCATAGACCGTTTTTTGCCATTCAACCAGCTCCTCAGACTTGAAGCACATGTATTACAGCAGATGTGGGGTGCCACTGTTTGTCTTGATCACCTAGTTTACAACCGAAATAAAGCTGATATGCCTTTGTTATTAGTGGAGTAATAGACCGTCTCTAAGACGCAAAAGTCACATCACCACACACGTAACAAAACTGATCTGGATTGTTTACACACTTTCGAGACATCTTGCATGAACGCTGTCAGCCAACTGAGGAAAAAATGGCTAATATAAAACAATATAATGTACACGTATGTATAACGTAACACAATCATGCCGATTACATCATCTTTCCTTGGCGAATATAAAAATGTAGCACGTGCATTCTTGTGAATTACAGTATATTAACACTGTCACAGCAGGAACACATATAATTACCGTATCTCTAAAACTTGAACTAATAGTGAAAAAATAAGTTTCATTCCGGTTTTAGCACATTAAAAATAGTAATATTTTGTTGATTTTATTTAGGATATTTTTTGGCTGTTGATCAGTGTTATGTTTTTAAGACAGCTTCACTCATAATACGTTTTAAAACCAGATTGAGATTTTTTAATAGGACCGATTGAACACATACTTTTTTTCAGAAAAGTTTGTAAAATTAGGGAAACGGATTTTTTTAATTGTGCAATGCGTGAACACAATGTTGTGTCACAGGAAAATATACAATACACTGACTCAACATGAGTAGCAGACAAACTACCGTGTTGATAGATGCACATTATAATACTAATTCAAATAGATTAGGAGCTAAGCATTTGTTTACATTGCATTGTTTGACGCCAAAATTGTGTAGTTTCAGTGAATACTTTGACTAATTGGCCTACCATTGCCTAACAAAGTGACAAAACAGCACATCGGCGTCATTCGTTTCTCTGGAAAGGAAGTAGCTATTTGAACTGGGTGTACAAACAGACTGTCTGTGTTGCACTCTCACTTAGTTATTGTTAATAACTGGGATAATTAAATAAGGCAAATTAACGAAAGTAAATATTTATTATTAGCCTCGATTACTGCTCACATATTTGGGGTGCTGTGACCCGGACTACATTATCCATTCTCTATGGTGTTCATAGGAGGGTTGTCCAAGTGATCGATGACTCCTCTCTACCGGACAGTCTCGGCACCCTTTCACTCCGGCGGATTCTCGGCGATCTAGCTCTCTTCTACTGTTACGCCAACGGGCTTTGCTCCTCAGAGCTCTGCTCCGTGATGCCGCCGCGCGGTGTGCCTGCCAGACAGACCCGTCTGACTTCAGCCTCCCATCCATACCTCGTTGAACTTCGTACATCCAGAACTGGCCAATACGATCGCTCTTTTGTCCCGAGGGTGTCGAGATTGAGGAGGCTTTTTCCAGTTGTACTAACTTTAGGCAGTTTAAAAATCGGATTAACAAAGTTTCTTTAAGCTCCTCATAGCAGCAGCCGAGCCCTGGGATTTAGGCTTCTGCCCGCGCGGCTGCTTCGGTGCAAAAAAGCATATGAACAATTCTGCTTAATTCGTGATTTTGGAAGGTGAACAATACGAAACATCCTCTCCATCAAACAACAACAATGGCAAAATATCTGATATTGGACATAGTGGGACACCTTGCATGAATGCTTTTCTAAATGGCTGTCGTGATCTGAGCAAATTCTTGACTAACAGCAAATACCAAGTTGAGCATAATATGGAAATTCATGCTATTATCATTAGTGACTGTATCCATTAAAAATACAGGGTCCGCCAAAGGGACCTGATGAGTTTCAATATGAAACTACAAATGTATATTTCAAGATATTTATTTTCATATATAAGTAATCGAAAGTGTATTACATGCCATTTTATGTATGGAAAATAACTTCGGTCAAATGATGTCCTTCACTGCGGACACATTCTTCCAAACGGTTTCGCACATTCCCCATTACGCGCTGTGCCATACTCATCGGAATCGCGCTAATTTCATTGCGAATGTTGTCCTTCAATTCTTCAATGGTCCTTGGGCTCGTTAAATATACCTTGCTTTTGAGATAACCCCATAACCAATAGTCACAAGCCGTGAGATCGGGAGACCTTGCCGGCCAAGGAACATCTCCATTCCGCGAAATGACTCTTCCTGGAAACATTTCTCGCAGTCGAACCATTGCTGCTCGTGCTGTATGCGCTGTGGCGCCATCTTGCTGAAACCATACAGTATTTAAATCTATGTTCCGTCGACGAAGCTCTGGTTCCAAAAATGTGTTTAACATTTCCAGATAACGTTGCGAATTGACCGTGACAGAATTTCCAGCATCGTCCTCAAAAAAATAGGGTCCAATTATGCCGAATCGCGACACTCCGCACCAAACAGTAACCTTGCGACTATGAAGGGGTCGCTGGTGAAGTTCTCGCGGGTTTTCTGCACACCAGTAGCGAAAATTCTGCTTATTTACGTAGCCTGATAACTCGAAATGCGCCTCATCAGACATGTTCCAGAAGCTGGTTGCTTGCAGTCAAACGGTTCACAAAGTCTTCTGCTGTCAGTTCTTGAACCATCGCTAATTTGTAAGGGTGATAATGTAAATCCTTATGCAAAATACGCCGCACTGTTGTTTCTGAAAGCCTTAGACTAATTGCTTGTAGCCTAGCTGAACGACGAGGACTTTGCTGCACCGCGTTCGCACCCTCTCAATATTGGCTGGAGTCCGAACTGTTCGACGCATTCCTGGTGGCTTAGCTTTCATTGCTGATGCAGATCGTCGAAAATTTTTGACCCACAACTTAATTGTGTTACGGCATGGAACAGAACCATGACGTCCGACATTGAAATGTGTACGAAATAGACGCTGTGTAATGATCACCGAGTCGTGATTTTTAAAATACGTCTCGACAACAAATGCGCGATGTTCACTTGTCCACAGCTCCATGACTACTGAAATGGCATCTACTACCGATGTCTTGCCCACTGTAACCGATGTTCTACGTCAAAAAACAGCTTCGTACTATCCATTCTGAAAACGTCAGGTTCCTTTGGCGGACCCTGTATTTGAAAGCATTTAATTAATTTGATATCCACAGTTTTGTTCTGGCGTACTGGCTTCTTCCATTGAATCTCGTGGCATCAAAATGAGATCGTAAAATTACTACGTACAACGCGAAAGTACCTTTCACAAGAACTTTTAGATTCAAAATTAAAGTAAAATTTTAGTTTCGTTAAAGTTTAGGTTGGTTCTTTTCAGTATCCATCAAAAAGTTAGTTTGCCGTTTTTCAATGTTGTTGTCAAGAGGAGTTAAATCGCACGATCTCGGGGGCCAACTGACATCTGAATTTTGTGAAATTATGCGGTCTTGAAATTTCGTGTGCAATAAGGCGATTGTTTGGCGAGATGTGTGAGCCGTTGCTTCGTCTTGATGAAACCAAAGGTCGTCGGTGCCAATACGATCCAATTGTGGCCACCAAGTCTGTTAAGATGCCGCGTTAACGTTCCCCGTTGACGATAATGGCCTTTTCTTCGGCATCTTCAAAGAAGAATGGTCCAACGATGCTACCAGCCCATAATCCGCACCAAACAGTCACTTTTTCAGGATGGAGAGGTTGTTCATGATATTGGTGTGGATTTTCAGCCCCCGAGAGTCTGCAATTTTGCTTATTTACGTACCCATTGAGGTGAACATGAGCCTCATCAGAAAAGAGCACTTTGGCCGAAAATCCGTCTTCTCTTTCCAGCATCCAATTAACAAAAACACGCCGCTGTTGATGGTCTGCCGGCTTCAATTCTTGTTTTAGTTAGATTTTGTATGGATGGAGGTGTAAATCAATGTGTAAAATCCGGCGTAAAGTGGTCTCCCTAATTCCCAATTGTTGCGAACGGTGCCTAGTCGATGTGGTTGGATCTTCTCGCACACTATCACTCACTACGGCTATGTTTTCACGAGTACGAGCTAGAAGAGCATGTTGGTATGGTCTACGACCTTCAGCTAACCAGTTTCCTCACACCGATTAACAATCCAACGAATTCCAGCCTCTGTAGGGCGTCCATGTCGGCCCAAACTTAGTGCGAAGTTTGCGAAAAGTATTTTTTATATTTCGACCGTTTTCGTAATAAGTTTGAATAACCAAACTGCGTTGTTGTGTTGTAAACGAATCCATGCCTATAAATGGCATACCTTTGACAGTTCATTTATGCATACCACATGACTTTTGACTCGCATGGTAACACATAAACTTATAGGTAAAAAAAGTAATAGATGGCGCACCCAGTACAATTCTGTTAATAAACCTTAGATTGGGATTGAGTGCTCTTAGATGATAAGGGCTTTGGTTGTGACTGACTAAAACGAAAATGAAACTATTTTTAAAAAAATACTTTATTCATTTAGTTACAGAGTTGCTTGGAAATATTTTCAACAATCAAATAATTAGCTTAAATATTCTATCTATAATTAGCAGGTATCAAAACATAAAATAGCCGAATCCCCGCTTATAAGGTAAGCTTTTTATACAAAATTTGAATGAAAATAAAATATATGGCAGTATTGATATGCACACTTCAGTGTCACTTTTCTGTATTGAATCTTTTCAGATTATGAACAGAGGAGTATTTTAGTATACACTTCACCAGTTTTGTATCATTTGCATCATGTAAATCTAATGAATGCTGATTGTCACATTGCATAGGTTTAGATTCATTAATTCCATGCATAACTGTTTAAACACAGTACGGTACCTTGACTAACAATAAGCGCCCTAGCGTTCATCCGGTTTCGATAGTCAAGGCATACAGAACCTTACAAAACCCAACCGTAGAGGACAGTGGTCTGAGGTGGTCCTCAATTCCAAAGACCAGCACGATATAAGAGTTAGGCGCATGGTAATATTGCAAAGCAATGGCAGTCGGTCTTTCTGGACAGTGGCCAAGCAAATTGAAAGGAGCTTTTAACAGAATATTATTCAACCATTTCCGTGTCAGGATGGAATCATTGTAACCGACCCAAAGGCTAAGGCGGAAGTGCTTGCCAAGATCTTTGCTGCCAACTCCACCATGGACTCTCAACGCACGATTCGAAAGGTACCCTACATTATGCGAGAAGTAACATTCAGGCAGTAAGACCGTAAGACGGGCGCTCTTGTCGCTTGTCATCAACAAAGCTTTCTTTCTTTAGCATCTCTTTCAGATATCTTACGAATCCGGCACCTTCCCAGAAGACTGGAATTTGCTCATGTCCAACTCATCCCAAAACAATGTATCTAAGACGGACCCTTACAACTATAGGCCTACAGCTCTGCTTTCTGTAAGGTGATGGATCCACAGGGGACCTTCTAGCTTACCTCATGCAATATGCTCTTGATATCACGAAAACGTTCGATCAGCTATGGCACGCTGCCCTCTTATGCAAACTTCTATTGCTTTGCAAACGGGTGGTTGACTTTATCTCTGGCTGAAAGATATCCGTCGCTGACAGCACTCTACATGCAGGACAAGTCGATCTCTGTCGGTGAGCTGGAAAATAGAAGACTAGCCGCGACTTCCTCTCTGACGAGAGACTTGGAGGTTATCACTGCTTGGGGATGCAACAATCTTGTACAGTTTAATACTTCCATAACACAGTACTGTACCTTTGCGAAAAAAAGCGCTCATCCGGTTTCGATGGATGGCCGAGTTCTGCCAAAGCCAAAAAACTTCGTACATCCATCATCTTTGTTCCGAGGATTGTGGAACAATTTACAAGAGGAGGCTTTTCCTAGTCCTACTAACCTTAGACAGTTTAAAAACCGGATTAACAAAGTTTCTTTGGGCCGCGGCCGCGATGTCCTGGCATTTAGGCTTCTACCTGCGTGGCTGTTTCGGTGTAAAAATTATGGCAGATTAGGAGCTCCAAAGGCATTTCATTGCTGTTCATTTCAGCTGGTCGGAGTCCAGATCACCGAGGACCTGATTTGGCGCGAACACATCTATCTACGTCAATAGAGGCGACTGCTGAGAAAAGCTTGGCTAAGCAGCACTTTTCTCCACATGATTTCGTCACTCTGTACAAGGCACAGAGAAAACCAAACCTCGAGTACTGATCACATGATTGGGGTGCATTTTCCATGCTCAATGCTTTCGCACCGATGGGCTGTCGGCGATCTAGCCCTCTTTTAGCGCTACGCCAATAGGCTTGAGTCCTCAGAGGACTCCCCATGATGCTGTCGCGCGATGTGCCTGACTCCGGCCTCTCATTTTAACCGTGTCGTACTTACTACATCGAGAAGATAGGCAGTAACGGTGGCCGCAGTAGAGTAGACACTTCGGTCTCCTGATCAGTCGCCGTGCGTTGAAATTTTTCTCTTGGCTATGGATGTTGTGATTGTCCGTAGGTGGTAGACGGTCCCTGACTGTCGAACGCGGAGGTACCACCCGGCGGATCTCGTAGGCGGAGCCAGAATGTGTGCATGTTGCATGCACACGTGTTCCCTCGCCAGAGTCCGTGAGGCGTTCCCCCTTTCCCCTGTATCCCCTACACCCCACGGTACCCAATGGGTGTTTAGGCCTTAGGCCTTCGTGGTAGTTGGAATATACAGGGTGACTTCGAAGTTGAGTCATTTATTTTAACAGTTAGTAGATCTGATCAAAAGAAATATTTTTTTTTCTGGTAAAATTAAAGTAACAAAGTTATAGCCCTTTAGAAGTTTGAGTACCGCCCTGTCTCAATAATAATATTATGTGCTCGTGTTTGGCATTTGGATATAATCCGCCTTATCGGTTCATCGCATCGGAAACAAAAAAGCGAAAGAATTTGAAACGCGATGTTTTTACTATAATTTTCTTTCAGTTGTATTCAGTCAATGTGTCAGTCGGTAACGCGTGAGTGAATAGTGGTGTTTGTTGCGTGGCTCAAACGAAATAAAAAATGGCACATGTTTACAAAATGCTGCCGCGGCATCACGAATTTATGCGGATCGGTTTCCCAATCGAGAGCAACCAACCCCCCGTGCCTTTGTTAATGAAGTATAAAGGGCTCGTGAATCAGGTGACTTAAGACCTCACAGGGGAGGGCATGCCGGTGCTCCAAGACCGCACGATCAAATACAGGTCCGCACTGAATTACTTGTCGGGAGGATACTTTATAAAACAAGGTAAAATTTTTTTGAATTTTTTTTTATTTTTACATACATATTTTGGTTTATCTTGCTTCTACAATCATTATCTGAAAATTAATGACTCAACTTCAAAGTATATATATATATATATATATATATATATATATATATATATATATAAAAACTGGCCGATACGACCGCGCCTTTGACTCCAGGGTATCGAGTTTGTGGAACAACCTAAGGAGGCTTTTCCCAGTTCTACTAACCTCAGACTATTCAGAAATCGGATTAACAAAGTTTCTGTAAGCTCCTCATAGCAGCCGCGGTGCCCTAGTATTTTGACTTCTGCCTGCGCGGCTGCTACGGTATATGAATGAAACTCGATGGTCTTTAGTAATAATGGACTTTTTGACAGCAAGGTAGCAAATCCAGAATTCCAAACACTATTTCTGTTGTTGCTAGCATAATTGTTATCGAATTTAATATGTATTCTAACCTCATTATTGGCTTTTGTAAAAACAACTGGTATATTAGGGCTGCAAATGTGACGAAGGTGAAGAAAACTACAATGGCGGTGGTGATTTCTGAAAACAAAGAATTTCAGTGCATTAGGTGACAGTTTATGGTCATGGTTTTTAGATACTTTTAACAATGGAGTAACACTTCATTCATTGATATATGTTCGTCCCTGTTGAACTAAAGGAGGCAGAAATGATATAGCCTTTTTGTTTAAAGGATTTTTATGATCAAAACTGAATGTATCATAGACATAATATATACAGGGTGTAATTTAAATGTAGGAAGAAAAGTTTATATGAACATACGTTCTGAACTTTTGAGCTACAGGGTGTTAAACTCTTAAGAAAAAAATGTTTTCTTATCATAGGCAGTTACGGAGGCACATCATCAGGAGCAGTTTTCCGTGAAAGTGTGGGTTGGAATAGTTGAGACACGTCCTCATATAACCGTTCTTCCTTCCACGGTCGCTGGATGGACTATTGTATCGACACTTTCTTGAAAACGATTTGTCAATTTTGCTCGAGGATGTGTAACTTTTATTGAGAGAATGCATGATGGTGCTCCTGCACATTTCAACATCACGCTAGGGAATTTCTAAATGATCCGTTTACGACTCGCTGTTTGGACGTGGGGAACTCAATCTTGGCCTCCCACGCCCTCTGATTTAAATAGTTTAGACTATTTTTTTGTGGTGGAACCTCAAGACTAGTATATACTACACCGGTTCAAACTGTAGAGAAACTAAGGCAGAAAATCTTACTTTCTTGCCAAACCATAACAGTGCTTAATAAATGCTTTGAAAACATAAAATTACAAAACGCTTATTCTCGAATGAACATCGAGTAAATCAATTCACTTGGTGTTAACTCTACTGGACAGTAGGACGCGTACACGACCACGCTGTGACGGTGGCAAGGCTAGAAGTAGTTGTCCTACCTGTTAACAGGGATGGCTTAAGGAACAGGTTTTTTCAGACGATACTCCTGTAAATTGAATATTTACTCGATATTTGTTAAATTCTGTAATTTTGTTTGTTCTCAAAGAATTTATCAAGCAGCATTTTGTAGAGCAACAGTAAGACACTGTTATTTTCAATAAAATGCAAACTTAATTGCTGTCATATCAATCTAGATATTGTATCAAATTTGTGTCTAGACGCAAATGAAAAAATAAGTTTTTGTAGTTAAACCGAGTGATTTATGACGTATTTCTTGACTTAGTATGAGAAGTAGGAGCCCATCTTACAAAAATCGTACAATTTTTCTCTAGTTTGAGAGACATTTTACAGAAATCGACCATATTCTTTAGATCCATTGCTTCAAAGACGTCTTCTCATTGGTTGAATTTGTGACCCACGTGGTTTTTTGCGCTTAGTAAAATCGAGCTTTAGGCCCGTATCGTCAGTCGTCCCTACAATTGTAGGGCGCCTTTATGGCATCCTTGATTGTCATAGTTTTCTACTTCTCTGTGTCAGCGCTCTATTTTAAGGTTATGTCACAAACATCTATTTGCATCAAATTGTGCTTGCTTTTGAGTTATATCATGTTTTATCAGCCTGAAATTTCCTACAATTTAAAAAGAAAACATATCTTTACAATAGGAGAGCGCTGACGCTGACACGGGACAAGTGTAATCTAGAAATTTTGGAAGGAGAGAAAGGAGTATGACAATCAAGGAGGCCATAAACGCGCCCTACAATTGTAGAGACGACTGACGATACGGGCCTAAGTCATCAAGATTTCTTGCTCATTTGCACTGTATGGCGGCATTTTTTGCAACCGTTGCCAATTATTATATAATATATACTCAGTGACACCTAGAACAAATAATTTCTTCAACTTGTTTTTTGGTAGCATAATGACTACATTAAAAGCATGTTGTGGCAACAATGTCAACGTTCTATCTTTGTCCTTGTTAACCTTTGTTAAAATGTTATCTCTTAGTTTTTGTGAAGGAAGCAGTTTCTGAGAGCTGAGTACTACAGATATTTTTAGTTATTGCCCTTTCATTTAGTAGTGTTAAGCATAACAAAATGCCTCGAGCTAGAAGACGTCCAATTTATCAAAATGTTAGCGACTTTGACAGGGACAGAATTATTGCCTATCGAGATGTTGGTTTGTCCTATCTCGAAATTGGCCGCCGTGTTAATTGTACTGCAATGACGGTCATGTGGGAGTGTCGTGTGTGGATAGAAGAAGGTAGAGGAACATGAAGAAGGCCAACTGATCCACTGAGGCGAACCACAAAGCGTCAATATAGGCGCTGCAGATAACTAGCCATACGAGACCGTTTTGCTAATACGCGTCAGATCGCTGTCCAATGGTTTGGAGAAGGAGGTAGACCTGTTACTATGAGTACACTCTATCATCGCATTCGAGCCTTTGGACTTTTTCATACCGTCCACGGTTAGTGCTTCCTCTGACTGCGGACCACTGTCGTCACCGTTTGAACTGGAGCAGTGAACGACCACATGGGGAGGCAGAATGGCATAATGTCATCTTCAGCGACAAATCGAGATTCTGTTTAGGTACGCACGATGGTCGTGGAGAACGGCGTGATATTGGATTTGCTGTTGAGAGGCATGTACACAAAACTGTTGAAGTAATGGTTTGGGCGGCTATTGCATTTGGTAGCCGATCACCTCTTCTCTTAGTTCAAGACAATATGGCTACTGCACGTCATGTTGATGATGTCCTACGAACCACTTTTTCAGCAAGACAACGCACGTCCTCATATTGCTCGTCAAACTACGAACTTTCTTCAAGAAGCAGTCGTTAATGTTTTGCCGTTGCCACCCAGTTCACTGGATTTAAATCGCATCGAACATGCGTGGGATATGACGGTGAGGAGACTATCCACTTTGTACCATCCGCCACAGACTCTGCCACAGCTAATCCAAGAAGTTCGAGTAGCTTGGAATGAGGTGCCACAACCAGACATCGATCATCTCATTTTGTCGATGCCTAGACGTATACAGGAGTCGCCCAACACATTGATTCTTTTCTTATTAAAATTTTGTGAGAATGATATCGCTTCATTCTTGATGTCAGACTACTTCATTCCTAAAAAATAAAGGTGAAGAAATTATTTTTTCTGGGTGTAACACTTCTAATGTCACTGAGTATATTACGTGTAACTGACCTGGAAACCTAGTCATACCTGAATGGTTGCTACACATGGAAACATATGAACCAATATTCCCAAACTCTCCAATATTATTTTTATATACTTACTTCTTCGAACATTTTTGAATCGTTTATATATGACCATCTTGATTAGTTCTGCTGACAGCTTTGTGAATGCAACTGCTGCATCTTGAACTATGTCTGGAGTATCTACAATACTGTTATACTTCGCTGCTGTCATAATTGTTTCACATATGCCAAATACAGGAAAATAGAATGCATTGAGATAGATCAGACATTCGAACATCAGATCAGTGTCCACGTCCATTTTTGTATCTGCTTGCCCTGCAAATGCGATTCTTTAGTGAAATCTGTAAGTAGAAGATCCGAATTACAAGCGACCTTCACCCACCTTTTTAAAGGATTAAAAATATTTTATGTCAAATTTTGGATGTTAAAAATATATAAATATGAAAGTTGTACTAATAAGCTCAACAAATAGATTTAATGCCAACTGAAAGTATGGAGCCTATAGAACATGCAAGATTGGGTTGTCTATTCTTTTCCTGGCCTAACTACTGAGTTGGCAGGTATAAACAGGTATATTGATACTAGTATTAAATTAAATTAAAATTCACTATTTTTCAAAATGTCAAAGTTGAGAGTTCTTGTACAGGGTGGCCAACTAAGAATACGAGCTACTGTATCTGGGAACCTAGCCATCGTAGAGGCTTGCGGCAAAAAAAGTTCTTACTAAAACGTTCGTTTCTGAAATGGCCTCAACGGGGCGTAACTGCAATCTTGAATCTAAAAGTTCTGTGAATTCCGGTATATTTACCTAACATAAAAATATCTGATCTTTAAATTCAAGGATAATCTGAATCTTTTTTGTTTGACAATTTTTGCTGTATTTCTAAAAATAAAGAGGTGGGGGCTATTCAAAGATTTCCGTAAAAAATACCCCGTATCTTCGAACGGCTCCGCCGATTTAAACAATCTTAGGCTAGTTTAAAAGAGCTATATATACAGGGTGTCTGCAAAGTTGGGGTTTTCCTTTTCATAAACAACTACCCTTGAAATAACAGATAATGTGTAGTGAAACGAGGGCGACCAAGTAAAAAAAATAAAGGAAAAAGTACTCGCTCTCCAGTTGACGAGAAGGGCTAAGTACGTCTCTGTCCGAAATCATATCGCTCCAACAGAAAATGAAATCAGCTGATGCGCTACCGAGCAGACGCCGGCGGTGGTGCAGACCACGAACAAGTGTGGTAACAAATAAGACGGCGTTGCCGCGTTTTCAGTTTTTAGGTAAACGTACTTTATAGGTATTGTTCGAAGTTATCGCCGTTTGATTCAAAAAAACAGGTGCGTGCACGACGTAGCCAAGCATCGGTGCAGGCTTTGAGAATGGAGTCCCTCCCCCGAATGAAAGCACTAGCTTGTTCAATTCTGAGACGAAGCTCGTCAACCGTATGCACTTCAGTTTTGTACAGTAAGCGTTTCATTTCTCCCCAAAGAAAAAAATCACATGGTGTTAAGTCTGGAGATCGCGGAGGCCACGCTACGGGTCCATTACGTCCGATCCACCTATTCGTAAATAATTCATCCAAAAACTCACGCACTTCGCGTCTAAAATGGGGCGGTGCACCATCGTGCAGAAACCACATTGATTGTCTTACACTTAATGGCACATCTTCTAACAAGGAAGGCAAAATGTTGCGTAAAAAGTCTAGGTATTGCATCCCGTCCAATCGATTTGGGAGAATGAATGGTCCAATGAGCATACCGTTCACCATGCCCGCCCAAACATTCACCGAAAATGTTTGTTGAAAATGTGCCCGACGGACAGCGTGCGGATTTTCTACTGACCAAACATGAGTGTTGCGAAAGTTATTCACCCCATTACGCGTGAACGTAGATTCATCTGTCACCAATATGCACTTCAAAAAGTCCGGATTATTGTCATGTTGATGCAACCGCACTCTTGCTGGAAAATCGTCAGGTTGAAGAGCCTGTACACGTTGGACGTGAAACGGATACAGCCCCTCTTCACGCAGCGTTTGCCACACGTTAGTTTTTGATACTACGCGATTCAGTAGTTCTTCCTCAACTTGCACCATTCGTGGTTGTCTAGGCCTCCCACTGTGCCCACCTCGAAATTCCTCCAAATGGCCCGTATCCCTGACTCTCTGGACCAGGTACACAAATCTGCGGGGCCTTGGATGATGTCGTCTAGGGAAACGATCTGCATACACTCGCGACGCCTCTGTAGCATTTTGAAGACATTGGCCATAAATTAACAACATATCAATGAGTTCATTATTGGTGTATGAGTGTGCCATTATTTTTTTTTTTTGAAACGCAATCGATTATACGGGTTCGTTTACCTCTACACGCGTGACCGTAACCGTCGGTTGAAGGTTGCATACTGACCTGACACACTGACCCCGACCCAGTTCTGTCGTCGGGTTGAGCCAGTGACCTTGTACCACTCGGTGATGTCGCGGGTCGCGGCTACAGGACGGTATTCAGTTATTTTTGATGTTGCAGAGCCCTCGGTTCTCGGTTCCCTTAAGACATTGGTGTATATGCTACTAAGAAAAATTGCTTATGTTTTCAAGATCAACACCTCGTGTAAAGGAAAACCCCAACTTTGCGGACACCCTGTATATATATATATATAAACTGCAACTCGATATCTTGTTCCTAACCTAAAATTTAGGCCAAATAAAATTTTATACGGAAATCTCTTGAATTTCTATGTTTTATAAAGTAATTTCTCTGGAATTTCTTTTTATTATTAAGTTGTGGCCCTAAAAATGACCGATTTAAAAAAAGGTTTTTAGTGCTCCCGTAAATGCTCGAAATGCTGACCATCACGCTCTATGAACTCCTGAAACTTGTCATGAGTAGACAAAACTGCAGCTTGAACTTCGGCTCTCGGTATGTTACGTATTGCATTGCGTATCCGGTTTTTCATATCTGCTCTGGTTGTAGGTTGAGTCTGAAACACAATGTCCTTTAACCGTACCCATAAATAAAAATCAAGACAAATTAAGTCTGGTGATCGCGAAGACCATGGAAACAGACTTAATCTTCCAATCCACCTCTGTTGAAATACTGCATCAATATGCTCTCGCACAATAATAGCAAAATGTGCTGGACAACCATCCAACTGCAAAAACAAAGTTTGCCGTGTTTCCAGTGGCACAGCTTTCAAGAACAACGGTAACTGATTGTCCAAAAAGTCAAGAAAGACGTTGCAATTTAGTTGGCCACCTCGCATTCTTAGTTGGCCACCCTGTACATTGTCTCGTACAAATAATTATCAAAACGCTAATAGTATGTTATAAGAATCTGCTATCCCTAACCGAGTATGCAGGCACTCTATTTGAAAAATGGATTATAAAAAATTATTCCGAACTATGTGGAACGGGATGATGGTTCTGGTTAGTTTTGGTTTCTGGTCCATTATGAGCGCTGAATATAACATTCTTTGAAAATATTTACATGCTGTTTGTTAGTAATCACAAACCTCTATTGGATCCTAATCGATATTTCTCCACTTTAGCGATTCACTAGTAACTTTGCGAAAATTTCATTATTTATGATCTCGCATCGTAGTCGTTTTATTCTAGGAAAAAGTCAACGTTTTGTGAAGTTGCGGGTGGCATAACTGTACGAGTTGCGCTACATCAAAATATCTATTTTTAAGCTGGTAAAGTTAAGATTATTTTTAGAACCTGTGTCCAAAGCAGCCGTACGTTTTAGGAGAAAACATTAATTGCGGATGAGTGATAAAACAGTGGATGGTGCTTTGTATATCTTCTAACCGTATATTGTTCTATATTTATTACATCTTTGACAGAGGAATGATGTTTATATTCCGCGTCTAATGATGAGACAGTTTTTCATCTGGGTATACAGGGTGACTTTGAAGTTGAGTCATTAATTTTCAAATAATGATTGTAGAAGGAAGATAAACCAAAATATGTGTGTAAAAATAAAAAAAAAATTTTACCTTGTTTTATAAAGTATCCTCCCGACAAGTATTTCAGTGCGGACCTGTATTTGATCGTGCGGTCTTGGAGCACATACCCTCCCGTGTGAGGACTTAAGTCACCTGATTCACGAGCCCTTTGTACTTCATTAACAAAGGCACTAGGGGTTGGTTGCACTCGATTGGGAAACCGATCCGCATAAATCCATGTTGCCGTAGCAGCATTTTGTAAAATCAGAATCATGTCCACAAGTTCAGCATTTTCGTAAACAATTTTTATTTCGTTTGAGCCACGCAGAAACACCACTCACGCGTTACCGACTGACACATCGAATGAATACAACTGAATAAAATAAATGAATAAAACATCGTGATAAGCGTTTCAAATTCTTTCGCTTTTTTGTTTCCGATTATATCCGTTGTTGCCAAACACGAGCACATATTATTATTGAGACAGGGCGGTACTCAAACTTCTAAAGGGCTATAACTTTGTTACTTTAATTTTACCACAAAAATGTTAAAGGAAAAAAACATTTCTTTTGATCAGATCTACTCACTGTTAAAATAAATGACTCAACTTCGAAGTCACCCTGTATATATTTTTTATTTTATGGGGTAATAACGTTTACCAAGGCTAAAGAAAAAATGATAAGTTTATTTCCAACACGCAGATACACCCAATTTTAGGAAATATCAATAAAACACAGTAAAAAAAAGAAAACATAGATAAGAATAACAATATACAGGGTGACCCATTTGTGACTCTCCTGGTATATTTTGGAAAAAAACGCTCGGACTCGTCAATTTTGATTTGTAGGGGGACGTCTTTTCATCTATAGCTGTACAATACAGGGTGATCCAAAAACAAGATATTGCGTTACACTTTAGATTTTTAAATGGAAACCCCCATTTTTAAAAACCGTAGATTTTCCGTGAAAGTTTTAGTAACTTTTGTATAATAAAGTTTATACCTGTCTTGAATCGTTGTGTATTTTATAGTAAAATTCTATAAATTGTGATATTATAGGATTATATCGTAAAAATATAGTTCCCATAGTAACCAACCTTTTCTTTAAAATTAAATACAAGTCGCCTAAAAGTGGTGTCCTTTTGCCTCTCGTTAGTGTTATTAAATGTAGAATGTACTAATTGTACAAATATATGGGCCTGTATTGCTGACTAGACCCATGTAATTTTCTTGTTATATACTAAGTGACATATAAAATGCAACACCCAGAATTATTTATTGAATTTTGAGGCAACTGGCACTTGGAGATCGATTTTCCACAAGGGTAGTTGCGAACCAGTGGTTTGATGCTGTCCGAATGACAATAACAATGAGGACAGTTTATCGCCGAATAAGGTCTTTTGAACTGTTTTCAAACCGTCCCCAACTTATACTACCTCTGATCCCCACCCCACAGCATCGTCGGAAACGATTGGTATGGAGTAGGGTGAGACTTGAATATGGAATGGACCTCGGTCGTGTTCGTACAGTAGTAGTGCATATGGTTTGTTAAGCTTATTTCTATTGAAGTTTTTGTGTGTCATTTAGGCCCGTATCATCAGTCGTCCCTACAATTGTAGGGCGCGTTTATGGCCTCCTTGATTGTCATACTCCTTTCTCTCCTTCAAAAATTTCTAGATTACACTTGTCCCGTGTTAGCGTCAGCGTTCTCCTATTGTGAAGATATGTTTTCTTTTTAAATTGTAGGAAATTTCAGGCTGATAAAACATGATATAACTCAAAAGCAAGCACAATTTTATGCAAATAGATGTTTGTGACATAATATCGAGTTCTGACTCGGAGAAGTAGAAAACTATGACAATCAAGGAGGCCATAAAGGCGCCCTACAATTGTAGGGACGACTGACGATACGGGCCTTAATAATATGTCTTACCGCCCAATACCAGATTGCATAGGCATCTAGATGCAAAATGGTTCAAACTCGGATTCACATGATTAAATAACACAAATGGCTTTTGGCCAAACTAATGAAAATAAGTATCATAAACTATATATATTTTGATTCAGAGGAAAGGGGACTATCATTTTCCCTGAAAATATGGAAAAGATTTATGTTACAGAATTAACTTAACATCATCTAAGAAAGGTATAGGGATGAATATATTTTTTATTCAGCTACTCTCCAATAGATGGCGCTGCACATCTATACATCGATAGCCAGCACAAAACCCGCCCTTTTGAATGAAAAATCTCTTACTAGACCCTATAACTTTCAAATACAACTTTTTCTTAGACATATAAAACAGAGGGGGTCAATTTATACAGGGATGCCCTGTACAGATGAAACTACGGGATATAAATTAAATAAAAATGTCATCGTGTAAAAACTATATATTATTTCCATACGATACAAATATGCACAAATATCTAACAATAAACAATAAAGAGCATTTGTATTTCTATAACATATATTTCGGATAATATATTTTTATACAGAGAGGCAAAAGCTCCAACCCCAAACTAACCCTAAATTAAACGATAAATGCTTAATAAGTCATAAAGCTATATCAGTCAATTAAATAAAACATCCACAAGTAATTAGTAGCTTGGTTTAGCAACATCAAGTATTCATACTTTACAGGCTGAAGCGATCATGACTCGATAGTTCATCAATTAGTTTTTGACCTGGGCACACATCTTTTTTTCGAATTCCGGGAACATTTTCTCATGGAAAATATGGCAGTATACGATTATCACTTTGATGAATTGGTAAATATGACGGTCCCTTTGAGAAACATACAAAGTCTTTTCCTTTGTATTGAATAACACTACACAATGTCACTCCCATAGAAAGGTTATGTAACTCATACCTAATGTCATAGAATAAATGAGTATTTCTTACAGTATTAGGCATAGGAAAACTAATATCGATTTCAATTTTTAAAAGTGCAAGATGGATATATAAGTTCAATTCAAAAAAATATATTTATTATTTTTAATACGAAGCGGTGAAAAAACTATCGGCCATGAAGTGACGTCATACAAATTGTAAACAACGAAATGTCATTCGTGGACTAACGTTGTATTTCTAACAAACTCCCTAATCAAGGAGCCATCGATTTCTCGTTTCATTGAAATTGGAATTTTTCCGCCTTCAACCCAGATTTCTGCTGAGGAACACCAAGACTTCTACGTAAGTACAGTGCTCTGATATAATGATAGTCATGTTTACATGTTGAGAGGTTATGTTGCTGTCAGCCGCTGTTTACAAGTGATATGACGTCAGACTACATTAATAAGGGCAAACATGACGGACAGCGTTTTCGCCTGTCTAAGAAAGATATACATATTTTAAAATTAAAGCGTTACGGTCTTTTAGGTCTGATAAAAAAATTTTATTTGACCAATAGAACAAATATTAATTACTCAAGACCTACTTGCACTGTCAACTAGCCTACTGTGTTGCTAAAGTAAAAGAGAAAAAGGTGTGGTAGCAGCTGCAATAAAATAATTAATTATTTTTTGGTGATGTAATTTGAAACAAATTGGATTTTTCGACATCATCGATGGACAAAATATTTTTAGGACCTAGGACTAAGTTTTAGGTATTAAATTACTTTCAGGACCTCTCAGGGACTACCAGCCTGAATTTTTGCTGCTTGGGCATCTCTGTAAATATATAACACCCTGTAAATATGGAAATCGGAACAAATCACATCTGTTGCAAAACCAAACTATTTAGAACATAATAATTGTGATGGATTGTCTTTTTACATCTAACTTCGCCCAAAATTAAATAGGTCACCCTGTTCAGACCCTCGATTTTACAATCGCTAATAAAACTATATTTACACGTCCTGACTGTGAAAAGCAGAATATATCAATAAGGAGTTGCATTGAGATTCGCGCCTCAAAACGCATATTTAGGTCGAACGCAAGTTCAGATGCACGTTTGTGAATCGAAGAAGCTCATTCAGCGATCATGTGCTATAAAAAGGGCAGTGAGAATATTCTTGAGTATATGTTATCAACTAGATTATAGGAATGCTTCTGAATAGAAAATCCTTACGTTAACTTCACACGTCTACTGCATGTCCACCGGAATTTGGAAAATTGCACACTGATAATAATCATAGCTACAATACTCGCGGTAAAAATAAAAGAAACATTCAGTTCAGACGATTAGCAAAATCCTGTCATGGGGCCAAAACTATCTAATAAACTGAACCCGCAAATCATGTCTGTAATGGAAAAAGTCTTATTGCAGAGTACATTTTATAATTTCGATGGGCGGTACCAGTGATTTGATATGTTTAAAATATACATTTGTTATAGCATCAATTTTTTCCTTGTCGTTTTACATGTAATGTGAGAATTTTAATATATTTTGGCTAATATCAATTTTGTCTAGATAGAGAATATGGGTCTATACGGATCTCCTCATATGGAAGGGTGTCATAATGTTTGTTGGGTGAAGTATGCTCATTGATTCAATTTGAACCCTAGGTTTGATTTATGAAAATTATGTTTAAAACGAACGAATATTGCCCAACTTTCACTTCAAGTTGAAAATTGGTTCAGTTATTTTAAATCATATAAAAATATATTTTGGACTTGTGCCAAAAATCAATAAAACCAACCTACATCGGTAAAGGCGATTTGAAATGACGTTTCAATATCCAATGTACAGCATGTAACACCTTACCACATGTTCCACTTTTCATACAGTCAGAATATTGCACAATTTACGTGTCTACTTCCTAAATGCTTACATCTTTGGTATATATTTTAATTTCTTTGCGACATATACAGTGCAGAGTCTTTCAAACACGTGTATAAA